TAGGCCTCCCTGTACTTTGTATATAAAAAATATCTCGTTTGTGGGGGGTGGGGGAGATATGTAGAGATCTCCTGTCTATATCTACTAACGTAAACACAAAACCGTTGGAGGGTGTGTGTGTCTAGATCTCGCGTGCCTCGGGGTGTGTGTGTATGTTGAGACCTCGTGTATCTATCTACATGACGTATATATACGACAGCTGTGGGGTGTGTGTGTATGTTGAGATCTCGTGTATCTATCTACATGACGTATATATACGACAGCTGTGGGGTGTGTGTGTATGTTGAGATCTCGTGTATCTATCTGCATGACGTATATATATACGACAGCTGTGGGGTGTGTGTGTGTGTGTTGAGATCTCGTGTATCTATCTACATGACGTATATATATACGACAGCTGTTGGGTGTGTGTGTGTTGAGATCTCGTGTATCTATCTGCATGACGTATATATACGACAGCTGTTTCAGTTTTCCTCTTGTTCTCATCATCAGGAGAGGTACGAGCTGCGGGTTGACTTTACGTACAAGGGGACAAACTACTACGCCATTTACAAAAACTTTTTGTTGCTTGGAGAATCCGAGAATTACAAAATTGAGATCTCCGGATATTCAGGAGGTAATGCAGGTGACCAAATTATGAAGTATCACAATGGCCTGGCGTTCACAACAAAAGACCGTGACAACAATGTACACAGGTTTGGCAACTGTGCTAGTGCACGTCACGGAGCTTGGTGGTACAATAACAACTGCGGGTACGTGAACCTCAACGGGGCGTGGGCCTCAAAGGAGTGGGCCAAGGGCGTGTATTGGTACAGTGTAACAGGGATGGACAACTCTGCCACCTTCAGTGAAATGAAAATAAGACCACTCGCAAAGTGACAGCTTTATGACAGCGAATACTCGGTGTTCTGATTATATACGAAGCTTGTGTGTCCATATATTATTTTGTTTAAGAGAAAGTGGGAAAAGGATAATAATACTAAACATAGATCCACACTGTATACGTATTCTTCTCACTTCCCACAGTCTGATCCCCATGCGCTTTACATATTTTCTAAAAACAGAAAATTCTGGTCTTTGCGTAGTCACGCTTGTACACACACCATGGTACACTTATGATGTTAAAGATATGTATAATATGTACATACCTCCATGAACACACACACACACACATACACACACACACACACACACACACACACACACACACACACATACATACATACACACACACACACACACACACATTACGTACACGCACTCATACACACACACACACACACACACACACACACACACACACACACACACACACACACACATATTACGTACAAACACTCATACATACACATACCTCAACACATGCATGCACCCATCAATACGTAGTACATACACACAAACACACACACATGCGCGCGTGTGCAAGCACACACAAACACACACACACACACACACACACACACACACACACACACACACACACACACACACACACACATACACACACAGACACACACACACACACAGATCTACTGCAACACAGTTGGTTCAGTTTATTGAAAATGAACTTAGCAGACAATGTAAATACATTATTGTCTACTTCAACACTGTTAGCTCGGTGTGTGGAAGTGGAACTCAGTCGGCAATGTAAAGATAATAATTGTCTTTAGATATCAATATTATTCTAGATCTACTTGTTCTTGACCAAAATGTACCTTACCTCTCTTTTTGTTGTATCATTCAGACACGAATTGGTCTGTGTTTGGTAAAAGTATGTCTGTACGTTCCCTGCATGTATACAGGAGGAGCCAACTAAACAGTACAATAAACCTCAACACGTTGTCCCAAGGCTGTTGTTTGGTTATTTCTGATTCTTTTGTCTGTTTACACATACTTGTATTTTGTTCTTGGCTTAAACATCTTCTCCTCTCGGATTCTTCTGATCAACTTCTACAAGGCTAGCATTAAACTGAGGAAAAATGGTGTTCAGTGTTGGAAGTTGAGAATATCATTCCACTCAAACATACAGACGGGGGCTCTCGTGGCTTAGAGGTTAAGGTGTTCGCCTCTCATTCAAAGGTCCCGGGTTCGAATCCCGTGAGGGACGGGAAAAATTGTCTTCTCTAAAATTGTCTCCTTTCATCTCCTTTCCTGCTCTCCACCAATATTCTATCGTCTGCTTTCGTCTCTACTTTCTGCCCCTACCCCCTCACCTCCTTTGCCCTCTCCTCTGGGCTCCTGACTCTTTCTGCAGCCTTTCTACTGCTGCTCCTTGGCTCCTTCTTACTGCTGTCTTTCAGCCACATCCGTGATCTTCTGGTAGGAAAGATCTACACCTAGCCTTCTCGGACAAGGGCGAAAAATCTGGGAGGGCCCTTGTGCAAGTTGCGCACGTCAAAGACCTCTTAGTGGTCTCAAATCGATACGAGTAGGCTTCGGCCGCCACCCAGGCAAAATTCAAAATTTCCAACCAACTGAAAATGTTTAATGTGTCCCGCGTGCTCATCTGACTTTATGCAGTTGTGAGCGCCGTAAAACACCCCCCCCCCCCGAACCCCCACCCCCACCCCAAACACACAAAAAAAACCCAAACAAACAAAACAAAAAACAAAAACCAATAAAACAAACAACAACAAAAAACCCACCAAAAAACCCCCAAACCATACAGACATCAAAAAGACAAGTGGCAGAACAAGCAAACTATGGTTGTGTAAATTCTTACAGAACTTACAGACCACGATTTGGAACATATTTGTCGTGTGGCTTAGTAATGGAAAACTGCTTCGCATATGATTACTTCATTGTAATGTTTACAGAAGATGGTTAGTCACTTCCTCATGAACAGCGTCATTGATTTAGTTGTGTGAAACAGCGCTGGGCTAACGTCATTGATTTAGTTGTGTGAGACAGTGCTGGGCTAGCGTCATTGATTTAGTTGTGTGAGACAGCGCTGGGCTAACGTCATTGATTTAGTTGTGTGAGACAGTGCTGGGCTAGCGTCATTGATTTAGTTGTGTGAGACAGTGCTGGGCTAGCGTCATTGATTTAGTTGTGTGAGACAGTGCTGGGCTAGCGTCATTGATTTAGTTGTGTGAGACAGCGCTGGGCTAGCGTCATTGATTTAGTTGTGTGAGACAGTGCTGGGCTAGCGTCATTGATTTAGTTGTGTGAGACAGCGCTGGGCTAGCGTCATTGATTTAGTTGTGTGAGACAGCGCTGGGCTAACGTCATTGATTTAGTTGTGTGAGACAGCGCTGGGCTAGCGTCATTGATTTAGTTGTGTGAGACAGCGCTGGGCTAGCGTCATTGATTTAGTTGTGTGAGACAGCGCTGGGCGGACTTTGGGGCACCACCAGTGGCGAAGCGTCTGTATAATTAAATAATCACTGCTTCTCTTCTTAATTTTGGAACATTGTTGCAGTCAAATTCACCCATAGACGTTGGCCCCATAAATTAAACGTAAATAGACGTTCATAATATAAAACATTCCAAAGTGTTTCATTGCCACATAAATACCCTGTTCACCCCTTTCGGGCCACTCTCATAAGCAGTCGCAAGCACTGATTATGTTGTAAGCTTACAATCTGACTGGTCGAGTCTACCCCAAGAAGGCGAGGGGAACTAGCACCTAAATAATGTCATGGCTGCTGTGAGTGCTTGCTTTTTATCCTCGACTTCTTACCTCCATATGATCAGTTCATGACCTGATCATGTTGTTTTGTTTTAGTAGAGTATTTACGGCGCTCGCAACTGCTTAAGGTCATATGAACGCCAAGAGGTGGATGTCAACAGAGAAGTCCATACAGGGAATCAGGCTTACTCTGCTCACCTTTCTAGCTTCAACAGCACAAAGTCTGCTTCGACTATCAAGGCACCCCGGAAATAGCAGGTCACAAGAGTGTGACAAACATACAACAAGTAGAGGAAAAATGACGATAGTAAGGATTAGGAAAGAAAAAGCAGCTAGTTCTTCGTTGCAGTTCAGGCACATTAAATGAGCAAGACATTGATTTATCAGCCCATTTATAATTCTAATGTGCATAAGAACTTGTTAATGTTCCCCCTTTGGGAATGGCATACAGACACTTCACTCAGTAGCACTGCCCCCCCCCCCCCCCCGGAGGAGAGGTAGGGGGCGGGGGGCGGGGGAGATTATAACACCGGCTCCTAGCCGCCAAAAGCGAAGACAGCCAAATTTAAAGAGAGACAAGAGCGGTTGCCATAACATTGCATAGTATAGGAATATTATGATTCAAGTTTATACTTTTCTTACAGAAGGAATGAAGGTGAGTATACCGCGTGGAGTAATTTATGCTAATTTTTATATTTTACCTGTGAGATAGGCCCTATAAGGATTATTTTACCGGAAGTGCAATGCTAAAACAACTCCAATTATAGTATGAAATACGAGGATTTATGAGATGTCATAGCCATTAGTTTTTTACCAGTACAATAACTTGAAGTCTAATTAGGCTAGAGAGTTTTGCTATAATCTCTTTGGTCCTATGATAATCTATTGTGCTATTGTATTGACACCACTTCTAAACAATAAACCATAGCCCAGACAAAAATCAAACAGACGAGCAAGGAAAGACGGCAAGTTTTCACATTTGAAAAGGAGGCTAAGTTTACCGTTTTTGATAAGAACACGTCGGTCGCCTGATGAAGTTGTGAGTGAATTCCACAAGCAGCACATTTTACAGGAGAAGGAAAAACTGGTTTTGTCTGTCATTTGGCTCTCAAGACGTAAACTGAAAGGATAAATCTAGTCCATTAACTTCTAACAATAAAATCAAAGTATATTTTTTAAACCGTTGATGGTCATTCTTTCCAAAATGTGTGGGATTTACATTTTCGGATCTCGCCTGATTGGAATTCAGGAGGATTTAATCTGTGGGCTTTATGAACCGCCGTTTGGTATTCGTGGATATCGGGCAGTGTGTTTTCTCTTATCAGAGTCCTGGTTGGTTTAAACTATGGTATGAAAGCCCACAATACTTTTATAAGAAAGACTTTAAAAGACCAATATAAAAACTAAGTATAAAATTAATACACTGAGTGAACTAGAAGACTATTCACTTTTTTTCCAATATAAACATCAGTGATTCTTACATGAATGGGCTGTTGTACGTACGGTAATTTATGAAATCATACTCCTTCATTCGTGCTCTCTCTCTCTCTCTCTCTCTCTCTCTCTCTCTCTCTCTCTCTCTCTCTCTCTCTCTCTCTCTCTCTCTCTGTATGTGCGAGCAAACACACACACAGTGTGTGTCTGTGTGTTGTGTGTGTGTCTGTGTGTGTGTATACACACACACACACACTCTCTCTCTCTCTCTCCTCCGATGTTTAGGAGGAGTGTGAATAAGGATGGGTGGGAGAGAGAGAGAGAGAGAGAGAGAGAGAGAGAGAGAGAGAGAGAGAGAGAGAAAGAGAGAGCGAAAGAGAGAGAGAGACAGAGAGAGAGAGTGTGTGTGTGTGTGTGAGAGAGAGAAAGAGAGAAGGAGAGAGAGAGAGAGAGAGAGAGAGAGAGAGAGAGAGAGAGAGAGAGAGAGAGAGAGAGAGAGAGAGAGAGAGAGAGAGAGGGGAGGGAGGGAGGGAGGCTGAAGTGAGGTTCTCCATACCATCGCTCTTCTAGCGCCAAACAGAACAATATACAATTGCAATATTATGTAAGATAGTCTAGCCACCTAAAATCGTCCCTGCTTGCTATTATCTCTGGATCACCCTTTCTTTTTATTTATACTAAGCAGAAACTCTTCCGAAGAGCCCATCTCTCTCCTCTGCGCATAGTTTTATGGGTGCAAAAACAAAACAAAACCAAACCCAAAACCTATACTGGGATTGGCTTGTGACTCAAGAGGGGCGCGGAGCTGAAATGCCTGAGAGGCGAGGGAAAGACTATCCCGCTGCCCCACCCTCTCCTTTTCTTCTGTCCAGG